TTTATTTTTATATTCAATGATCAGCTGGCTGTCTGAGAGTGGGATTCCAATGCTGTACCAGCAAGTGATCAGATAACCGTGCGTCAAATTATTAAGTAAGTAGGTGATGACAGTGGTTTCACTTTCAAGCAGTCTGCAACTGAAAGTCATCCACCTTTTAGGCTCTTTAACCATTCCTTGTCTGACCCGTCACCCAGAATCTTTATGCCTTGAGGGATCCTATGAGGGGCATTTAAGCCCACAACAACATAGCCTCTGGAACCATCTTGGTAAATGGTAAATGGCCTGTACTTATATAGCGCTTTTTCAAGTTAGGCGACTTGACCAAAGCGCTTTACACTACATTCAGTCATTTACACACACACTCACACACTGATGGTGGCAAGCTACATTGTAGCCACAGCTGCCCTGGGGCTCACTGACAGAAGCGGGGCTGTCGTACACTGGCGCTACCGGGCCCTCTGACCACCATCAGTAGACAATGCAGGTGAAGTGTCTTGCCCAAGGACACAACGACACTGAAAGTCGGAGCCGGGGCTTGAACCGTCAATCCTTCGATTTCATGGCAAACTCCTACATCCGACGCTACTGTCGCCCTTTCTTGGCACTGAAACCTCTTCACCATGCTGAGATGGCAGTTCGAGAAGGGGCAAAAAAAGAAAACAAGGGCTGAAATTAGCTTTTTGCGGTTGGTTGGGCCTTTTTTTTTTTCCACCTGCGCTCAGGAAGCCTCCCTGGGGAGGGGTTCCAGGCACGTCCTACCAAGGAGGACGCCCGGGGGACTACCCAGGACACACTATAGGGACACTACATCTCTCAGATGACCTGGGAGTGCCTCAGGCTTTCCCCAACTCACATCTGGGATGAGGGAATTCTGGGAGTCTCTGCTGAGACTATTGCCCTCACAACCCGGTCTCAGATAAGCCAAAGACTATGAGCATGAGTGTTGTTCTATATTTTTAAATCACTGTAATATTTATTGAAGTTACTGTATGAGATGCAAAGAGAATTTTTAAAGAAGTTAAATAAATGTAATGCAGTAAGACAGATGTTTTGGCAGGAGAGTGAGGTCAGCTCCTCTACTCTGTACAGTGTTGCATGCAGAGCCCCAGGTCAAGACATGCATCTCTGTCTCTAACTTTTATCAGTTAAAGTGATATCGCCTTGAGAGCCCCATAGGCACAGCAAGAGAGTTCTAAAGCTTGATGTCTCTTTTTCCTCAAGCATTATAAAAGGCATCAAGGGCTTCTTTTAATGCGTTATATCTGCCTGTCATGTCAGCTCCCTCAATCTCTCATTCTTTTTTCTACCTTTTATTATTTTTTTAACCTCCTACTCATAATCAGACGGAAAATCATCCCACTTTTTTTTCTGTTTTCTATTATTTTCCACTAATACTCCCCCTTCCCCTCAATGCAGCATGGTAATGTTCTCCGAAATTACAGTGAGGTAAACAGAGCAAGGGAGTGGAAATGAAATAACTGCTACAGGGCTGTCAGGTCTGGCAAGGGAGCCATCCGTCAGCAGGAAATGACACGTCGTTCACCCCCCCCCCATCCTGTCACATACACACAGTTTGATTCCTCTTCTCCTCCTGGTGGCAAGGTGAAGGAATTATACCCATCAAAGCCTCATTGCAGCCTGGAGCCTTTCCATTAACCTTATACAACACTGGTCAATGGCAAGGATGGACACATGCAAGAAGGGAGGCTTTTAAAACTATACATGCTGACACACACACAGATAGGTACAGTATAAACTGAACATTTAATGGAACAAAAGCCCCATACACAATCACATTTAAATCAAGTACACACCAGCGCACACACTCACACCTCAATTACCATTTCATTCATAGCCTGACAGCAGTGCATGTGCAAGAGCTGACATTAAAGGAAATTAAATCTCCTTGTGGAATGGGCAGCCCATCTCACCTCACCGTCAAAACACTCCTATTTCCACTCCTCTCTGCTAACCTTCTCATCTGGGTATTTAGAGCTTTGTGGTGCGGAACGTCATCAAAGAGGAAAAGTTAGTGAGGCAGCCGTGCTTAAAGGAGGCCTCCCTGCGATAATACCTGCGCAAACGGAGCCTCTGTACAATTAGCCCACGCACCCAAATTACCGCTTCACATTCCGATGCTTTCAAGCACTACACTAACTGCACACACATTTACTTATCATAGGCTTAGCCCAACGAATGAGTCAGTAAGTCAGTTAACACTTTGATCCAGACCTACTTTCTCCTTTTAGATATGAAGCCTATCTGACATAATCCTGAAAAACATTGCCTCACGCGACCATTAAGATTCAAATACAAGCAGATAAAAACCTACACACTCTCAAGGGACTTTGTAGGTAGTGACACATGTACAGTAGATTTTTTCACATGCAGATTTAATTAAGTCTAATTGATACGTGAGATCCTGCATCATGAGTTCTTTTTTTTCTGTTTCTCTCAAGCTCTAAGGCGTCAAGATGTAGACCTGCAGAGGAAGGGGTTTGTTATATAATTCAGTTCATGGGTAAAAAGATAAGATGGTGGGATCTCAGGCACCAGCCTTGTTTTGAAGGTTTTAATCAGATCAAACATGTCTTGTCAGATAAGGAAGCTAATTAATCAGGGCAGAGACCAATCCTCTCTTCTAACAGATGGAAGTATAGAGGCAGGACATTGGTGGAGACACTTCCTCCCTTCCTTCTTTAACTTCTTGATAATCAGTGGGATGCAGAAAGAGATTGAGTGAGACATGACTGCCTGCAGTGAATCATTCAGTCTTTAAGGATTTTGTCTTTCCACAAATGACAGTCATGCTGCATGACATTTTTCCACAACCCCCAGCTGTGAAGATGACGGATCCCTGAATTGAAATCTTGCTGAAGCTGCTGTTTACCGAGCTTAAGTTGCGTATGAAATAACCTCTTTAGAACTAAATCAACAGTTTTTAAAGCAGCCTTTCTTTGCGGGAAAACAAACAAAACTGTTGTGCAGATTGTTTAAATTTATCTTTCATAGTTGTCATGTACATTTTTGTGGCTTGTTATACAATGTTCCTTTTTTAAGGTAATATAATTATTTGTAAAGTTCTTGGAAATGAATCGTCATTAACTAATTTTAGGATTTCTTTTTTATTTTGTGTAGCTGTGCTGATTGTTTTTGAAACTTTTCAAATACTAAACCTTGACATTTTGTTTCTCTATGGTTTAAATATCCGCTAACAGAAGCTCATACATCCTTGCTTCTATTCAAGATGTTATAGACAGAAGAACATTCATTTAATTTGAAAATGTGTTGGCGTTCAAGTCCGCTACAATTCTTAGGTAATGCTTGAAAGTTTAAGATGAATTCACTTAATCAAAAAAAAAAAACTCACTGGATGACACTGGAGCCCGGTTTATTGAGTCATCACACACAGTAGGCATGATACTAAGATAGTTTAGGAAAAATATATAAAATATTTGCAGTTAGGGAATTGCAGCATTTTCTGGTCACAGTCTCTGTTACAATTATTAGGGTTATGTCTACATGTCAGCTGGTTGTTTGGGAAAGTTTCTACCTGCACAGATTTGTAGACTTTGCTTAACATTAGGATCTTAAATAAACATTTCTGCTTTGTGACATAAGAAAAAGATTGAGCGTCTCTTCCAAAAGAACTCAAAGACTTGCAGTATTAGAGAGTGTGGCAGCAAACATTTAATAAAATATATATTATATATTCAAATCTAATGGAGAAGAACAGTGGAGCACTGTTGTTGGACTTAATACTATAATATAATATATAATCTAATTACTGTGTGCCTTCGAGATCAAAGACAATAATAGTATTGTATTTATAAAAACATTATGTTCATTTAAGACTCTTGAACCTTTTTATAAATAACATAAAAAAGTATGTTTGAAGGTATTGATTAACACTTTGCAGAGTGTTAAAAATAAGCATTTTTATTAAGTGCATTAATTCAAAAGATAGTTATTTTGTTCTGAAGATTTCTGATCTGTTTGTATTTTAACTATCATATTATGAATGCATTCACCTTCAAGCAAGTACCCCAAATTCAAGCTAAAATTGGTCATATCCCGGATTTGGCTGCTAAAGTGGTTGTAAACCTCATTAAAACCTCATCAAATTGTTGCTCTAATTATATATTTACTGGCTTGTTACCACACCATAGTTGGCTGTGTGTAGTGATGCATTCGCCTCTAGCATATTTAAATCATGATGATCCCAACTGCAGCTCAGTGAAGGGTTCAGCAATGTATCTCACAAACAGAGAAGCTCTGGCTGGCTGCCTGTTTGGATGAGTCACTTACTACCTGGAGGAAGGATGCTATGCTAATGTGCTTACAGCCTACAACATCATAAATCCATAATTAGCAGTGAGGATGGCATTTCATGCTTAATTTAAGCACTGAGTGGTTTGAAAGGTAAATGGTATAGTAAGTTACATTGTGACTCCCTGGCTCAGTGGATGATTGACTGGTTGGGCAATCTCAAGCTGTTTCATGAGGGAAACTCACAACTACCTCAGGCTAAACCCACCACCAGCTGTGCAGGCACATCTAGCAAGCAGCATCTTCTGAAAAATAGATTGATTTTCCATTGTCCTATAATGTAGTACACCTTTTTCTATCATATGATATATAATCTTGATCATTGAGCAAACAGACAACTCCTTCCTACACTTGTAAATATGTGCATAATGAAAGATGCTATTACGTGCTGAACTGTTACTATACTTCCCATTTCCATAGCTCTATAAAATGGCTATACTCTTTGGAGGGGTTGGTGAATTATTTATAAATCCAATTCCGGATTTGATCAAATAAACTTTTGTCTCAGAGGCCAAATTGCATGTGTTTAAATCAGGGTACAGTTGCAGTTTGTCATACTTTTACCCATTCATTGAGTTTTCCTTTTAAATTCTATTCTTAAAGTGATTCCATTTCTAACAATTGTTTCTTATCCTTTTTGTCTTTCTTCTCCTTTTCTATCACTGCAGCAACAGGAACAGGATCCCACCAACCTGTACATTTCAAACCTCCCAGTGTCAATGGATGAACAGGAGCTTGAGAACATGCTGAAGCCTCTGGGTCACGTAATCTCTACAAGGATACTCCGGGATGCCAATGGGGTCAGCAGAGGAGTCGGCTTCGCCAGGTTAATACCAAAAATTAATTAATCAAAAAGATTTGCTTTTGTGTGTTAAGCATTTCAACTACAAATGAACTGGCTAGCTCAAAAAAATCAATGCCTAATTTCCGTAATATGAACTTTAAATTTAGAAGTTTGCCTCAGGAGTAGATGGCTCACACTCAAATTAATGGTTCTTTAAACGCTAAGAAACTCCCTCCAGAGCCTTAAAAGTCACTGCACCACTACTGTCACCAGTTAGAAGTGTTATTTTTGATAACTCACTTGAATGTAGTATCTACAAACATGTGGTATGCACAGAAACAGATGGACATGCATATGTTTGCTTGGAGCTTTTACTCAATACTGAAGGTGCTTTTGCGTTTTTGTGTGTATCTGTGCAGCTCAGTGCTCTGCCTACAGTAAGCATTTGTTCTGCCTTAGCTTTTTGCACATTTTGGAAGATTGATCTTTCTTTCTTGCCCCTTTTCCCACAGTGTTCAAAAATGTAATCTGGTGCAACCAGTTACCCTTAGAAGTAATCTTTAATGCTTTTGTTCGATAACACAGTGAAGACCAAAAAACACAGCAGACAGAACTGTGATAAAGTTTTGGAAAGGTTTAAAGCTGGATAAGCTTAAAACAATATCCCAAGTGTCTACTATCTGACAAAGCAATATTCAGCACTTCAATCTTTCCTAAACTGTAAAGTATACTGCAATGCTGTGAGCAAAAAAAAAAAAAAAAAAAACTTATGTAAAACAATTTTCTGCCTGATTAAAACCTTTTTAGTTATGATTTTTTTAACGTGTCGGGGGGGGGAAAGCAGTCAGAATCCAGACCTAAATCCAACTGAGCATCTTTATCAACACTTGAGCATTGCAGTTGACCATTTCCTAAAATATAGACACTGAATATTTACTCATTTGACGTGCAGAAGAAGCTCAGGAGGTACAGCTGTTGTTGCAGTGAGAGGTGACTCTAAAAGGCATTGACCTTGGCCACAGAATAGAGCTATAAGCCAATATTTTCCAACTTTTTTTTTTTTTTTATCCTTAACATCATCATTCCAAAAACATGGAATACTTTTGCAAAGCAAATCTTGTGTCTAGGCATTTCACAAGTCCTCTTAGGTAGTCACTATAACTCCATACTGTAAAGTCACTGCTGCTGTATTTCTAAAACTAAATCTGTCATTTAACAGTTTATTACCTTGTTTTTTTTTTGTTTTGTTTTTTTTAACTTTCAAAAGTTTCTTCTACATCTGATTAATCACCCAAAGTACTAAACCACTCTGTCCTTGTCCTCCGCCGCAGCCACCAGTCTCTCATTCCTCTCTGTTTACCCAAAGGAGGCTGGTGACGGCCACACCAACGACATCTTGCAGGGATTTTTCTTAATCACCTGCTCCGGCTAAAGTCGTCTCCTATTCCCTACTCTATTACTGAAAGGTTAAAGCAGGACAGACAAGCACATGCAGACACACAAACAGTCACACAAAATAAGCATATGCACAGATAGGCCCCACAAGCAAGCTCTTGTGCATGTGTAAAAACGGACATCAAAAACTAGCCGCTTAGTCACACTCCCTCAAACAAGTTGGCAGCCCTCCTGCAGACCAGCAAACAGAGCACAGCAACAACTTGCCACAGGCCACCTGCTCAAGAAGCCCTAAGTGGAAGCAGGAGCAGACATGATGGAGCAGGAAAATGAAAGAAGTGATATATAAGAGGGACCTGGGTGTGAAACAATGCTCTCCGAGAAATAAGTTACTGCAGAGGTCATTATAAGGAGAAAAAATGTTATGAAACCGAGATTATTAAAAATATTTATGGGGCACGATTTCCACGGCTAAGAAAGTGAACAAAATAGTAAAGTGGAAGAAACTAAACAGGCATGGATGGATGAAGAAATCAAATAATCAATAATTATTAAAAAAAAATGTCACTAAAAGATAAAAGAAGTCAGAAGGACAACTGTCCACAGAAGATAAAACAGATCCATTTATTTCATAAATGTAGACCTTCCATTAGCTGTGTCAACAGACAGACATGCAGCTGTTGAGGGCTGGACTGTGAGGGGCATTAGAGAGAGTAAACTGAGCTAAGTGTTTGTGGGCTGATCCATTACTGTTATCAGAGCCCATTACTCCAGCCCCAGCACTAATCATTGCAGACAGCGGCACCTGATGCCATTAACCAGAAGCATACTCAGAAAAGCCAAATCTGCCCCCCCGTCTACCTGCCTGACTCTGAGACTGACTGACCAACAAACAGTCTGGCTCACTGGTTTGTTTCTTAGTGACTTCTTGCTAGTCTGTCAGCCTCATTTGCTTCTCATACCCTGGGCTGGTTTCTACTTGCTGTAGTGCCAGAGACAATAACAAGAGCTAGTGTCGAGAAAAAATAAATTTTGTACACCAGCACACCATCATGGACAAAACATTGCTTCTTTTAAAAACATTAGTTAAGATGGAAACCTCAACCTTAATGAACATGATATATAAATGTTTTATTGTTAGTATGTGTGCAAGGGTCTCTATGTTAAGGTAGATATGAAACAACACGACATCAAATGCATCTCCATTATAGCTGCTGATAGCCCCCTGTCACCCTTTAAACCTTTTGACCATGGTATAGTGGAGATTTGAGATTGGAAACAGCAAATAATTTGCAGGGTAATTGTATGAGGGTTGGTTTGTATGCCAGATCCAGCTTTATTTACCACTTGAAAAAGCATTAAAATAAACATTAATGATATATCAAGCTAAATAAAACATGTTGAATTGATTTAGGTTGGTGTCTCAGTCTTATACTTGCCTATCACTAAATTTATCTGGTAGCTGTATTTTGTTTATTTATTTATTTTTATTTTATTTTTTTGCATTGTTACCTTTCTGAAAAGTATTTCACTCTTGAAGCTAATTTGCTTTGCTTTTTAAATAATAACAGCTTAATAGAGCCTTAGAAATGATGTTGCGATTTCTCTGTTAATTCTGTGATTTCTGAGAAATTGGCCTTATAGTCCTTAAAGGGGTAACCTTACTTAACCCGGTCAAGTCACTCTTTGTTTCCCCATCCAATTACAGTAGAGCTTCACCTGTGTGGTTACTGAAGGAATGTTCTCCAGACACTACTGCTGGTGAAATTAAAACAGAGATGCCTGTGCTGCCTTAGGCTGGTATTAGTTGGAAAAAGGCAGCAAGAGTAAAGTCCATCTCACTTGAACAGAAATAGGCGAATGAGATCTTTGCACCCCTTTACAAAGTTGATGTTGATATGAAGACAGCTGGCAAGAAATCTGTGTCCCCATCCCCATTTGTATCCTGCACATTGATTCTCAGGAAGAAATTGATGTGCCTAGTATTAATGTAAAAGAAAGGTTTCACAGTTTTTTGAGAATTGAAGCAAAGAGTCACTGCAGCAATCCCCTGACAGTATTTGTATACCAACTGTTTGTTCGTTAGGAATGACAGGAGAATTTGTTCTGTCCTACAGTACCTTCACAAATGAAATTGTGAACTTTAATGAAACTGAGACTTTAATTGGAACTAAGGCAACAACAACTTCAAGTACCTGTGGTGTAAAAGAATAGACACCAATATTGGGACAAAATCTATGATGCTGTGGGGCCAATGTCTCTCCTCATCGTCTTTAGTAGGGCCCTGTGAAATCTGGAATTCCAAATTCCATTTAGTTTTTTTTTCCCCAAATGCCACTTTTTCCGTTTTTATCATTCCCTCCATATTCTTAAATACATGGTGATATTGTTCTGCTCTAAACGTTGTGCTAAGATTAAAGTTTGTGCTTGTGACTCTTCAATATGGCTGACCTACATTTCTTGTTGGTGTGGAAACAAGAGCTCACCCTGCATAACTATCTACGGGAGCAGGCAGTGGACAAAAGAACTTACAAACATACCACTTCTTGCCCAAAAGAGTGAATTCCATGAGATTTCGTGTTTTGTAACACATTCAATTTTATTTGCTAAATTCCGCGATTCTGTACGCATTTTCTGCATCAGAGACATTATAGGGTCCTAGATTTAGACTTAGACTTAGACTCAACTTTACTGAGTCATAGACTAGCCTTTGGTTAATCAGTGAGTCTAATAACTAAACCTTGAAAGTTCCTTCATTGCTATATATCACTTCAACATTGTTTTCCACAGTTCAGTAAACTTACTGTACTCAACTAAGTTGTTTACTGAGCTAACTGCCTAATTCTGAATTTTTAGTGATGTGCTTGAGGGCATTTGTCATAATTATTGATAAGCTAAGCCAGACTGACTTGGCAGTACCAATCAGGTCAAAGTGGGGGGAAAGAAACAGAAAAATGTGAAAGAGGGTGGTCACAAGGTCAATATGCAATCCTGCCAGCAAATGTGCAAGATTATTTAACTTGAAAGATAATGGTAAGGAGAGATAAGAGAGACAGATGTTGATGTTGAATTATTATAATATAGAAAAAAGTATAATGGAAAGACTGGAAAGGATAGATATGGTGAAAAAAAGTGGCATGGATAGTAAGAGAACGTGCAAAAGAGAGTGGTGTAATGGTGAAAGATGGAGGAAATAACCAAGGTTGAAAGACAGGGAAGAATGAGAGAGAGACGTCAAAAAGAAAGGGTGTAGATGGGCTTGGAGTAAGATGGATGGGATGGGGAGAGCGATAAAGAAGCTATGGTTTAAAAAAAAAGAAGAGGAATGAGGGTTGCAATAGGGGAGGGATGAGAGACAAAGGACATAGAAGTGAGAGGCTGACAGGATGATATGAGTATTTCAGGAGGTGTCGGTGAAAAAAGCATGAAAATGTGGAATACAATGAATTCTGCTCATTCAGGGAGCATATTATAATAACGGCACCGCAGTTGCTGGGGCCTGCATTGAGAAACAATCTCATTTTGATATCAGGTTTTTCTGTCTAAGGAAATCTGAAATGTTTTTACTGCACAGGTGCGCAAATTCATGCATATAAATGATTGTTTCTCGTAAGTTGGTGTGACCTAACATAATGCAAACCTTTGAT